AAAACTCAATTTTTCTCAACTGATGAAAGTGACGAATTTCTCATTTCAACTCTTTGTCCTCTTCTCATAGTTTGGTCCGTTACGTTTGTAGTTTTACGCATAAAGCAGCAGATATCCACATAATGTTAATAAGGATGACTTGATCTAGTTTTTTTGCTAGAATTATAGAATTTTTGACTGAGAAACGGGACTATTTTGTTTGCATCGATTTTTTCATACTTTAAATACCTCTAGAGATCTAGAGACAGAAACATCTGCATATCCATTTCTGCAGTTTTCAAATGTATTGTATATGAGAGACAAATCGCTACTTTAAAAAAATAATTAATTAATGAAAAACCAATGAATCTTTGATTCCAGACCAAAAAAGAGAAATCGCTTTGAAACAATATTAAACGAGCGAAAACATATAACAACTACGAGAAAACGAGATGAAAAGTTAGCAATATCCAAGATCAAGCTAAACGAGTTACACCAATGTCTCAAAATATAGTAGAGGTTATGGCAAAACTTTTATTTTGACAGAAACTAAAAAATTTGCAAGAGCCCAAAAACTGACTACACAATCCAAATTACAAAAAAATTAAACTAAATTAAAACCAAGTCGAAAAGTGGTGAAGAATCACATTAACAAACCGTCGTCTTTTGACGTATTCCAGCCTTGATATATGAAAGATAGCATCCTGTGTAGGAAAAGCCGCCACTGTTGAGATGCAATTATGCTTTGATATTGGCTGGCAAATCACTTATCGTAAGCCCTTAAGCGAGTTCGGATTTATTTTATTTTTATATCAACTAGTTTATTAAAACTAACATCCGAGCATAATGAACTGGGCATAGAGAATGAAGCTGAGTTGTAATATAAAACGAAACTAACAGGCAAACCAGTTTGTTCTTCTGATCAGTTTTAGTGTTTATGGACTGAAATAAGAAGCGAAAAGGAGCAGACTGGCATATGCAGCAGGTGACGGACACTCGGTAGTCTGTAATCAACTGTAGCGGCAGGAATCGACCGCAGAAAGCGGGAAAAAGAAAAGCAAAAGGCCGACTTGGACAGGATTGAGCTTTCAACAGGGTGGGTCGATGGCCACGGTAAATTGCACTGATTTCGTTCATATCCAATGCATACGTAGAAGGGGCTTTTAGGTTTAACAGCTTCGTCAAGGGCATCAACGCGATAAACTATGAACTTCAATTAACTAATTGAGGCCATAAGTTATGAACCCATAACTCATTACGACAACCAAACTTCCTCATTAGTTTCTTGAACATACATTAAGCCAGTAACCATTTATTTGAACTAACTGGAGATTTTCATGCAACTCATTGTACTTTTCGATATTTAGAACATTTTTTTGCGTACATATATATCACATGTGATTACTGTCAAATTTTCTGTGGGGCCAAAAATTCATTTTGGGTTTATGATTGAATTAATTTCTTAAATACAGGGTGATTCAAAATTGGCGTCATTCCTCTGGAGGTGTTGTCTGGCGCTGTTATAGGAGTACAGAAAAAATAGTAAAATAAATTAAT